AGATGCAAAGCTCCTCTTGTTTGTTGTTAAGAAGTATAATTTACTAAAATAAGTTATTAAATAAACAGGAAAATCAAGACGTAAGATTCCTCACAAGATTTGGGATTTACTTCAGAAAACCAACAATTCAAGTTTCTTAAAGTAGATCTAAAAATAAAAGTTTTGTCAAAAAAGTAGGCTTTGCTAAGTGATGACTAGAAGTGATTTCTATGTTTGAAGATGCAAAGCTCCTCTTGTTTGTTGTTAAGAAGTATAATTTACTAAAATAAGTTATTAAATAAACAGGAAAATCAAGACGTAAGATTCCTCACAAGATTTGGGATTTACTTCAGAAAACCAACAATTCAAGTTTCTTAAAGTAGATCTAAAAATAAAAGTTTTGTCAAAAAAGTAGGCTTTGCTAAGTGATGACTAGAAGTGATTTCTATGTTTGAAGATGCAAAGCTCCTCTTGTTTGTTGTTAAGAAGTATAATTTACTAAAATAAGTTATTAAATAAACAAGCAACAATCAAGACGTAAGATTCCTCACAAGATTTGGGATTTACTTCAGAAAAACCAACAATTCAAGTTTCTTAAAGTAGATCTAAAAATAAAAGTTTTGTCAAAATAGTAGGCTTTGCTAAGTGATGACTAGAAGTGATTTCTATGTTTGAAGATGCAAAGCTCCTCTTGTTTGTTGTTAAGAAGTATAATTTACTAAAATAAGTTATTAAATAAACAGGAAAATCAAGACGATCAGAGCTCACAAGATTTGGGATTTACTTCAGAAAAACCAACAATTCAAGTTTCTTAAAGTAGATCTAAAAATAAAAGTTTTGTCAAAAAAGTAGGCTTTGCTAAGTGATGACTAGAAGTGATTTCTATGTTTGAAGATGCAAAGCTCCTCTTGTTTGTTGTTAAGAAGTATAATTTACTAAAATAAGTTATTAAATAAACAGGAAAATCAAGACGTAAGATTCCTCACAAGATTTGGGATTTACTTCAGAAAACCAACAATTCAAGTTTCTTAAAGTAGATCTAAAAATAAAAGTTTTGTCAAAAAAGTAGGCTTTGCTAAGTGATGACTAGAAGTGATTTCTATGTTTGAAGATGCAAAGCTCCTCTTGTTTGTTGTTAAGAAGTATAATTTACTAAAATAAGTTATTAAATAAACAAGAAAATCAAGACGTAAGATTCCTCACAAGATTTGGGATTTACTTCAGAAAACCAACAATTCAAGTTTCTTAAAGTAAATCTAAAAATAAAAGTTTTGTCAAAAAAGTAGGCTTTGCTAAGTGATGACTAGAAGTGATTTCTATGTTTGAAGATGCAAAGCTCCTCTTGTTTGTTGTTAAGAAGTATAATTTACTAAAATAAGTTATTAAATAAACAGGAAAATCAAGACGTAAGATTCCTCACAAGATTTGGGATTTACTTCAGAAAACCAACAATTCAAGTTTCTTTGCATATGCCAAAGCACAATGTATATGCATGAATTGGATAAAATTGTGGTCAAGTGAAAGACATACTAAAATTATAAAAAATATTACCTTACACCATACCCTTGCAGCAATGTTTGGTAATAGAGTTGCAGAATGGTTTGATTGAAGTGTTCTTAACATGATGAATAATTATGAATTGTTAAAAGGGGAAGATATTCAAAATTAGTTATTGAGTACATGATTTCGGTCTACAATTTAGGATCGAGAAAGTTGAAAGTAGAAGTAAAAAAAATAAAAATAAAAATAAAATAAATCCAAACTGATAATATTCTAATGGTGTCTTGTTGTTCACATCATTGTTTATTAAAACTAAAATATTATAATCATATTGTGATACAGCAGATGCTGTTCTCATGATTTGTACTTGGCTTTTTGATATGCAATGAACATAAGTAACTATTAGAAAAATGATTTCAATTGCAGCATAAGATATTTATAGTTCAATTTACGTTTCATTTACATTTTATAAATACTGAAAAATTCAATAGACTTGAAACATCTTAACATGAATAATCTTAATTGCAAAAAATAAAAAATGTGTTATTTGCATTCATTGAATTAAACATTATATCATTTTTATTTTATTTTTATGATTCTTTAATAAATTTGAAGACATGAATGTAACAACCCTTTATCATTTTTCTATGCACTATTTGGATTTTTATTTTATTTCATCAAAATTGATTAACTTAAGTTGCAATATTTTAAGAAATACTCAGTTAATTAAAAGGTTTAAAAATTATCAATTCTTCACCCTTTTCCTTGATACTAAGCTCTGTCAACAAAATCAAAATAATGTTTGTTGCCTAATAAATGGACGACTTTTAATTCAAATGCAATCCCAATTTGTTGGCATGTTTAATATGTTGCAATATCAAAGTTATTCCACTTAAGTTGGTGACTCCACATGGGTTGATTATCACCGCAATTCTTAAGGTCAAGCCATAAGCTGGATGTTACCAATTTCCATGCACAATCAATACAAGGATATTCATCCTTGCTAGGACATCCCAAACCCTAACTCCTTGTTGACTCTAATATGAACCATCTGTATTTGATACCACAAAAGTACAAACCCAAGGCTCAATATCATTTGCATTGTCCATCAAATTCAATGTTTTCTCAAATAAGTTGGAATCTTTGTTGGGTCTCCAAGCTCGTACAACAAAAGCATAATCCAATCTAGCTAAACAATGGACTTGTACATCATTTTTCATATTGTTTGTGATGGAGAAGTAGAACATGCTTTCATTTATCAAAATGTCTTTGTGCTCGGGGTCAAGGTTGTGCCACTCTTGTTTCAATATAAGAATGTTTATGTTTTGCAAGAAATCGTACTCAACAAGATACATCCCATCTTCATCAAAATGCCATGCAAACATGATTTCACCAAAAGGATTTTGTTGGTTGTATATTGGGCAACCTCTATTAGAAGAGGCCTTGCCACAAGACATGCTTGTGCTTGGATCCTCCCACACACACATGGTTTGGATGAACAATTGCTTGGCTCAATTCCATGTCCACTCATGGTAGAGAAACTTACAAAATAGGGTTTCTTTAAAGAGGTTGTATCCACATGGAACAATCTGTTGCTCACCAGGTGGCACAATTAATTGGGAGCTAAGAACAATTTTGCCCAATCGTGGTATACTTTCATAGCACTCAATGTGGATATGGCCTTGATACAAATTGGTAAATTCCACAGCAGCTCTCAATTGTGAGTAGGAAGCATGAACAAGGATGGAATTGCAATGGCCAAAACCAACTTCTAGAAACAAGCAGAGGAGTGCTTTGCAAAACAATTTTGATTTAAATATAGTATTGAAGAATTGTGGTTTTTCATGTTTCATGTAACACCATGAGCCTTACATCACTACAATGGGTTTTTTCAAAAAATGATAAATAAATTGGAATCTGGCATTGTGTACGACATTAAATATGTAATGCAATATTGTTTTTTTGATATATAAAGGTTCTCTATGGTTATGGATGCAAATTTGATGATGTTGAGTTTGGCAACAGACGTCATCACTGTTTGGATCTAACAAATACAAATTTGGACTTTCATTTTAACACGTGACTTGACATTGTAAAATTGTCGTTTTTGATGCAACATAATTTTCTAAAGACAAATCCAAAAGAGAAATTCAATTTTTGAGATCATCCTAAAATCTTAAATAATTATAACAGTAAAAGCATGAGTTTCTGTAAGTAAATTAATCTGGTGACTAAATAAATCTATGGGGCACCTTTTAATATCACATTTAGGCAAAACACAGAGTTTTTCTAACCAATCCATGAAGGTATGTGTTGAATATTTGATACTTGAAAAATCTCTTCATTCTAAATTCCCCATTATTTGAGTTCTTTTTGTATGCAATTTATTAGTTGTATTCAGAATAAGTCTCAATTATTATTGAAAGGTTATGTATGATTAAATTTGCATTGATAAAATTAAAAGAATCATATATATATATATATATATATATATACACAAACATATACACCAAACCAATGTCATCACTTATTTACTTATTTTAAATCGTATCAAAACTTCAAACACTATTTCAAAAAAAAAAAAAAAAAAAAAAAACGAATTTTTTTCCAAAAATACACCCGTGATAAACACAATTTCGAAATTTCGATGAGTAAATAACTTCAGCCATAATCTTGTGAAGTAGAAAGGTGAGCCAGATATAATGAATGGAATGTTGCGACTCAGATTCTGTCTGTTGTTGATATCCTTGTCATTCTTGTTCCACATTGTCTTTATTCACAACAGAAGTCACACAATTCTCCATGAAAAATCTAAACTCCCGGAGAGCAAAAAAAATAAGGATCAGAGAGTTCCTACGAATGCTATCACCAAAACTGTGCAGCAACGGCGTCACTACAGTTGGGGATCGGTGCTAGCGATAAAGACTCATTGCGACGTCGTCGTCGATCATGCGATCTGAGATCGCACGTGGGTTCCTGCAAAACTACCTTGGAATTAGGGGGAGTCACGTTGAATCTCCGTTCCATCATGCATGCTCAGATCACAACATGCAGGGTTGGTAGCTCTCGTATCGATAGCACAGGATGAACATAAGAAACGGATTGGCGCTATATGTCCGCAGCACTGACAGTTGCATGTCAGCTATTTGTGCCGACGGGTTTCACTTCTCTTTCAGGACGAAGGAGGCTGCAACTCGCAAGTTGATTGAAGATTTCGTGCTTTTCTGACGCTTCTGAACACAGAAGCCTACACTTCAGAGAACTGTAGAACTTCAGATATCTGAACTTACTGTCATACGCGAAAAAATTTCACCCTGTCTTACTGAAACTTGCTAGAGGTAGGATAAGTGTTTGAGCTAGAAGGAATGGCAGCTTCGGAAGTTGGTTTCATTGCGATGGGCAGTACTTGGGCGATACTTTTGACATTCAAACGGTGGTTAACAGTAGAGATCAGACTGCATGGTACAGGGAAGGATTACAAGTTCACTTCGGAACTCCTGACAACAAATTGATGCACGATGTTTGTGATAAATGTGCGGGTGGCCAGATGCACTTCACCTCGCACAGCAGAAGATTTCAGATTATATTTCATCGAAATTACAAACTTGAATCATGCGCAGCTTACACAATTATGATCGGGAGTGATTCAGCTGTCCTGAGGGGACTTCAAAATCTCGAACACTTTTCGACATGAAGGGTTCGTCATGACCTAGTTGTGTTTTCCACTGGCGCGCTATGCTCAATCTACACAAATTGAACACAAATCACCTGTGCGGCCCGTGCTACTATATTTTTCCTAATGCCATAGATGAAAATCTTCGCATCCTTAAGTGCCTCAATATCACATGAACAGCTTGTCTTCAATAGCAGAAAAAAAGATCGGATTATAAAGTTTATTTAAGAAAGTGCTGCATCCTGTAATCTTCTAATACGCCAAACGATAAATGATTTTCCAAAACAGATCAATTGCTAAAATTGTGTCACAATGAATACCATCGTCCAAGTGGACTGGTCGCAAGAGTGGCTTTTATGCTGGAAAGGCTTTCAGCGTGCAACCAGCATATAATACAATCGAGATCACCTAAACTGGGAACCCTCCCAGGTTTGGCCAAACCTCCAACCTTTGCGCACAGCATTGTAAAGAATTAGTGTTTTTCCATCACCGGTTGTAATCCTGAAAGTCAGCGCACCATCAATCTTCGTTGTGCATGTCCAAAGTGAACCCCAATTACGGTACATGCCCACCCACCCAGTGTACTGTCCCTTGATGGACACAGCCCTAACATCACCAGCACCTCCAACGTTGTGAATGAGAACCATCAAGAAGAAAGGGTTGCCTCCTATGGTGAAGCGAATACCGCCGCGCCTGGCACACCTCACTCTGTCATAGACACACAACGCACGAATCTTGAAAACCGAGCTGAACACCTTCCTCAGTTCAAAAACGACGTCAATGTTGCAAAAGTCGCATCAATTCACCGGCCTAAACATTACAGAAGTGCAACCAAATCTCACCTCCTGTACATGATAGGGGTAACACCTCCTTCCTTCCTTGCTAGACTAGTGAAGGCAGGCATCGGCAAATCGAAGTGGGCATTGGGAGGGTTGCACCAGCCTCCGTTTGAACCTGATGGGCAAAGATTTGTGGCAGTAACCACGATGGACCTTGCGTAGTTCCAGCACCAGTTCTTACCCCATTTCGGCGCAATGCATCTGAGCTGGTAGCAAGCTCCGCAGGCAGCCCCGCCTTGGAACAAACGTGAACTCAACGCAGCAGTATTAGTTCCGTATCCTAGTGCGAAAGTGTTTTGATACCCGCAAGCGCCTCCCTGCGTTCCACCTCCATTCGGAGAACCGTAGTAGGTGATGCGTCCAAAGTTCCAACCAAATGGCCCTCCAAGCACAGAAGATACACTCAGCGCAAGAAGGAGGACAGCGAGCTGTACACCGGATGTAGCGCTCATCTTCATGGCGTCCCTGCAACGTCTCGTAAACAAAAAATGTCTCAACTGGGATTTGATTCCATGTGTCTTAACATGTCTTGCTTGCGTACAAACCTCACCAAAAATATCATCCTCTACACTAAAGTGCACCACACAAAGTTAGTTAATTACTTGCTCTCAATACCAGTCCTGCTCTTATCGGATTTCAGCACCAGGCTGCACCTATACCACTCATGCTCAACTTATTGTTGAGCATAAACTCTTCTCAAACCTCGACATAACTCTGCATCTAACGAGTACCTGGGCCCATTCACTCAAATTCACAAAAAGAGAACTCGCTTGTTCGACTCAAATAGATGAACTGTATAAATATTGCAAGGAGGAGATACGAATGTAGATCAATGCAACGTACGTTGATCCCGAAATAGCTACGCAATGGGTACACCACTCGGTACCAATATAGATTTCACAGCAAGAACGTCCCCTGAGCAGCAGCACGGACTACTGAGAAGACCCGTACCAATGCACTAGTTTTGCTCAGACCTTGCTTAAGCCAAGAGTTGCCGAGGAGAACTTACGAGATGCAGATGCGCAGTGGAATCTGGGAGGAGAAGGAGGTTTACAAACTCGCTCGCGTCGAAGCTCTCATGAGGAGAAGAAACTGCTAGTCCTGGTCCTGGATCCGCATGTGAATGCACTTCTGAAAGGACTTGTGGAAGGACATGTAAAGGACGCTGCGGGGATGGAGAGATCTTAGGAGAGTCTTAAGAGCTCATAACCTTTTCCACTTGCGAATCACCTATCTGATTGCATTGGGGTAAGAGAGAGGGGGTATGTTTGAGTTTTTGCCACCAAAACAATTGGCTTCACCCCCATCCGATCCTGAAAGCTGCCATGGTGAAAAACATACTGAGTAGTATTAGAAGTCTTCCGGAACATTCACTCAGGCTGCAAAACAGTGTACACATATTTGGGGTGGGGGGGGGAGGGGGGGGGAGAATTAATCTCATGCAATGCCTCCAGGACGTGTCTACGATGCTCTAAACTTGCGCAACCGAATTCACTATTCATCAGACTAAGCCGATTCCAGGGGGGCTTAAAATCGCCACCCTCTATCCAGACGTTGACATTCCGTCGATGTCGAGATGACCACGACACGAATTATCTCCGCGCACCCATTATCTCAAACAAGAAATTTCCAATTTAAAACCCACTTCTAACTTCTCTATCATTAGCCTTGCGCGAGCACTTGCAGCAACACAAATTCAAAAAGCAAGTGGGTTCAAACTTCCCGAAAGGGATCCTTCGGAATTGAACCCACTCCGCAGTGGACGACTTCTCGCATGTTGTTGATCAACGCTCAAATCTCGTGATTCTGGGGAGGCGCGGGGAGAGAGCTCCCCGCGAACTTGCGCGCCGCGCCCCAAGCTAAATGGAGCAACAGCTGGAACCGGCGATGGCGGTGAAGCATATGCGGGTCGGGCCGGGTCGGGTTGCAAATGGAAATATTGGGGAAGCCCTCTCTATCCTCCTCCACATGGATCCACGTTCTCTCCACGGGAACTCGTCACCTCTACGTTCTCTTGGCCCAAGTCAACGCGTTCTCATCTTGAGAACGTGCCCCACCGCTATGTCGTGGAGGATGCGAAGCTCATTTAGAGTGGCACCATGTGGCCTCATCTGTGGCATTTATGACTTTCTATACTCTCGTTCTATTCTATTCTATTTTTACAACTTGTGGAGTTGTGTTTTAATTTGAATTTTGAGGAACTTTTTCTCAAAATTCAATAGTGGGGAAAGAATAGAATATCACATTATATTGGTTGATTTGAATAAGGTGTGAAAAATGTAGAGAACAAGTCAAGAGATAATTCTCAAAAAAAAAAAATAATAATAATAATAATAATAATAACAACACATTGGAAATCCCTTCAATATGTAATTTTTTCCAAGTTCATTCTTCAATTTTTGTATTCTCATTTTACTTTACCATTAGTACATTTAAAAGCAAGTGGGTTATTCTAAAGACTGTAGCCAGTTTATGTTAAAAAAAAAAAAAAAAAAAAAAAAAAATCTTCTCTCTAACATCAAAACACCTCAGATACATGTACCGATATAAACGTGCAAGCGAACATATAAATAACGGACCCTCGTGTCCACACAAAACCTAATGTGAAATAATAAGGGGAGGTGGAACAGGCGTCTTCAAGAATACGCGACTCAATCAAATTCCCTCTTTCACACTCCGAGGTCCATAGCTGTAACGCAGCAGCTGAACTGCACCAAGATTGAACTCCAGAAGAAGAAGAAGAAGAAGTAGAGAGACATGGGTTCCAACTCTTGTGCAACAACAGTTTCTAATTGCAGGTCTCGATGTTCGATTCCGAAAGCAAATCTTCGCATCGCCAGCTGGGTTGCCATCCCAAACTGCGCGAATGTGTGTGTAGAAACGGAAGAAGGCTGTGCGAGCAGACAGGGAAGATTGATTGATTGGTTGAGTGAGTGAGATCGATGGCTCGACCAAGGAATACCAAGGAAAACGCTTCCTTTTTCTTGTGTTCACTTGTTCGGGATCCTCACGCGTTCGGCGCCAGTTTCCTCTCCTCATTGCACCGACATTCGTCTACGTTCATCCATATCAATTGTAGGAATCATTCTACGTGTAATAATATATATATATATATATATATGTGAATAAGGTACCGCTAATATCACCACAGTTTTTTTTTTCTAATATCACGATGTCATTGCAATCTGTCATTCATTCAATTTATTTATTTTATTTTTATTTTTATTTTTGATTTGTTTTATTTCGATCAAAAATTATATTCAATCAAATGTTTTGAAAGGTATTGAACAAAAAACATTTGATTGTTTAGAAAGAAATTGAACAAAGATGGAATGTATTGGCATTTAATATATATATATATATATATATATAATATAAAAATTAAATTTTGTCTAAAATTATAATTTTTTATAATATTAATCAATAAGTGTATATAAAAAATAAATATATGTTTGTAAAAAAAATCAATAATTAAAATTATATTTTTATCTAGACATATTTTTTTAAGTCCTCAGATATTAATAATTAAGTTGGTATTATTTTTTTATTAGTTATATTGCATAGATTAGCATTGTAATGTAAAGTATTCCTTAATTCAACTTAATTCTACTTTTCAAAATTGAATATTATTATTTGTGAGTCCTAACATTCTTAATAATTTTTTAATTTTTTTCTTAAATTTTCAATAAAACATTTTAGATTCGTTAATATTACTTTCGGTTTTTAATTTTTTAATTTTTTATTTTTGAGGTTTTGAGATATATATATATATATATATATATACATAATTTTACAAAATTTTATTTTAATATAAAATATAAATAATAGTACATTTGTATACAATTAAGAATAAAATAATAAATATAATTTTACATATTTATAAATTATAAAGGTACTAAAATAATTCTTTTTTAGTACAAGTAATCACATAACTTAAAAATAAAACTAAAAGAAAATATTAAGCATGAATATGGTCAATAATAATCTAATTGTATAGCTAGAAAATGAAGTATGTATTTTATAAAAACAATGAAGCTTGTTTAAAAAATTATTTTTTAAAATATATCTAAATAGTAGCTTCTTTAATATTAAAATCTTCTTTAAAAATATTATTGTTATCACATAGCATATCTAAAGATCTATTTTATATTAGTATAATAATAATTTAATATTTGAGTACTCTATACATATTGTTATATATATATATATTTGGATAGAACTTTTATTTTATAAATATTCAAATTATAATTTACGAATTTTTCATATTTTTCTTATATATATATTTTTTAATTTAATATTCTAAATTTAGAATTTTAAGTTTTTTTATTTAAAAATATTAATTTAATTTAGTATCAAAGAAGTTCTTTTATCAAAATAGAATTTTAAATTCTTTGTACAAAGTGTAGATAATTCAATTTAAAATCAAATGATTTTTTTTGTCTAATTAAAATTGAAAAACTTTTACAAATAAAAATAATGATTCAAATTGGTTTTAGTAGAACTTTCTCTTTTGAGCAAGATGCCTACTAATTTGCTATATAAACCAAATAATTCTGTATTCAATGCCAATAATACCTTTCAAACAACATTTCTTTCTTCTTCTACTATCAAGCTCAATTTTTAGAACTATATTATTTATTACTTATTCTCTAGTTAGAAAATTATATTATTCTTAAATTTTGTTAGTTTATTTATTAATGGCATTTGTGGTAGCAATGGATTAGCTTATATTATTATTAAAAGAACAACATTAGATAAAACTTTTTTGAAAAGAACAACTTATGAATAAAATAAAAAATGGTTACAAAAAAACCATCTAAAAAAGAACTAAAAAACTCAAAAATAGTATCAAAAATAAAATATAATTAATATTATAAATTATTTTTGTAAGTAATATTAACAAAAGATATAAAAAATCAAAAATAAAGTTATTAGAATTATAAGAATACTAAAATAATTAAGAATTTAATACTATGATGCACTTAAAATATAATATTTAAGCTATACATACACCTAAAAAAAATCCTTTAATTTACTAATTTTTAAAATTTATTAGGAATTGACTATATATGATTGTAGTTGTAACTCACTTTTCATTGAGTTCTTGATCTCTCCATTTTTTCTTTATCTCAATGCAAGTCTTAAATATTTTTCCTATATTCTTTAGTTCTATACAAGTTTCTAACTTTTTTTTATTCTTCTTTGTCTTGATATAAGTCTTAGACATTCATTCTTCCTTTATTATTCAGCCTTTAGTTTTCAATTTTTTCTCCAACATCTTACTCTTGTTCCAACTTATGGTCTTGTTACAAGACTTGGGCTTCTTCCTAAATTAACTACTCTTACCACAAGTTCCAATCATCTTATTGTTTATTTAAATTGTGGGCATATGCATTTGATTTGCCAATGTCTAATAGCACTATATGTGCCGGATAATATAGTCAATGCTTTAGGCTTAAAGTGCTCAAATATAGATGGATCTCTTTTTGAATCATTCATCTACAATGAACTCCCCTTTGTTTGCATAATCTACAATTCATAAATAAATTGTAGCTATTATTGGGATATTATTCAAAGTTTTGAAAGTATAGATATTTTTTGATGTATTAGAAGACTATTGATAGTTGCAAAAGCTTCTTTTGAAGTACCAAATAAAAAATTGACTACATTCTCAATATAAAAAAAGATTGTTGCTTGCTTAAATAAGTACTTATAACAACCAAAGTTATTGAGGTGTGATGGATTAAATTTTATGTAAGCATGGTAAATCAAACATTGCAATGAAAGTCCATATATAGGACTTAATATTGTCAATGACATATAAATGTCAAAAATATGAATATCAAGAAACTAAAAAATCAATAACTCTCATGTTATTAAAAAAAACTAAAAAAATACTCAATATTGGTGTAATATTAGATTAGAATGGCTATTGCCAAAGAAAAGAAGACTAAAAAGTCTTTAAATATGATTAAAGACTAAAAAGGCATTGAGAAGTATAAAGAAGGCTTCACTCTTACTTTTAATATATACTATCTAACTAAAAGCTTTGTGGCGATATTTTATTAGACCTACAATATGTGTCCAACTCATGAAACATGTATCTAATTTATAAGATAAGTTTCTTATATGTATGTTATTTAGTTATCTCATTCTACAAGCTATTAATATATGCAATACATAGCTAATTTTTTGGCCAAGTTTTTAACCTACTAATCAACTATAAACATGTCTAAAGTCAAATATGCATGTATGAAGCTTTTAAGAAGCTTTGCCACAAGAGAATATCAAATCTATCTACATTTATTTTTTAATTGATACTTCTTATCTAAATAAATATGAATATTGATAAAAATTTTCTTCCTTTTAGGAACAAGTTTCACAAGAAACAGTAATTACATATTGAAAAAGTCAAAGATGGGACAAATTGTGTTTACGACATATTTTGAACTTTATTTTTTTTGAAGGTAGTTGATAGGTCTTCTTAGCCATTAGTAGTATCTCATATCATGGCAAGAAGACCATCTTATAATTTTATCATTGTAGAAGCTTTTGTAACTCTTTTTATAACAAGGTATAGATAAGATAATTGTATAAATAGTTAGAACCATGGAAGTTTCTAGAATTTGGATTAGGTTAGTGGACTAAGTAAGACCTACCATAGAATATTCTAAAAAGAATTTAGGGCGGTTACTTAGATAAGGTCCACTATAGAACCTTCTAGAAAAAAAATTCAAGGCGGTTATCTAAGAAGGATCTACTACCTAGGAACATTCTAGAAAGTCTAGGCAGTAGGGCAAGGTATGAATAGGATTGGCCAAGGCCTTTTGGGGCATGTGATCAGATATGGCTTCTGATCATTTCTCTTAGTAAAATTTGGTTTT